TTTCTCTCAAAACCAAACTCTGTATTTGTATATGTCCAAAGACCTACCAATCCTACCCATCATTTTGGACCAAAAATTCCTAAGTGGAAACTTGCACAAACTCCCTCTAACCCCAAAACCATGTATAAATTTCCATGCAAAATACACCTCCAAGCACCATAACCATACATTCTACTCACAAAACATCTACTCAAGTCACTCCATTGTGGTCGAAAAACGAAGGCGTCGACCCTCGAGCTATTTTCACGACCCGAAAATGAAGAAAGTACACGCACAAGGCGAAGTTAGCGAGGTTAGTGAGGCCACTGAGGATAATAGTGCACCCGAGAAAGCCCCTCCGAATAAAGGGCTATCGAAAATCGATTTCGCAATGAGGATAGTGGCCGCTATCGCTACCTTGGGGAGCACCATTGCAATTGGTACAACCAACCGTACGCTCCCGTTTTTCGCACAGTTTGTTCGTCTCCAGGCTCAGACGCGAGACCTCCCTGCATTCACGTGAGCATTTGTCGTAATTGATTAGCTCAAAAACTTATTGCTTTCGTATTTTTTCATCGAGAGGTAACAAATTATTTATTTATTTATTTTTTTTCTACAAGAGCAGGTTCTTTTTGGTCTCGAACGGCTTAGCAACTGCATACCTTGTTCTTTCGCTTGCGTTGTCCATATTCCATATGTTGAAGAGTGGCGCGAAGCTCACGAGGGTCGTGCTCGTCATACTCGACATGGTAATAATTAATAATTATAGTATGATTTTGGAATTTAGTTTGAGTAGCAAATTTGGTAACATTTTGTATTAGTATATTAATTGATGATTTTCTTTTTCAATTTGTGTAGATAATACTATCTCTTCTGACTGCCGGTGCTTCTGCTGCTGCTGCAATCGTGCATGTGGCCCACCAGGGAAATGCAGAGGCCAATTGGATCGCAATTTGCGAGAAATACAACTCGTATTGTGAGAGAGTCTCGGGCTCTCTAGTCGGGTCCTTCATTGGAGTTCTTATTCTCATGATGCTGATAATCTTGTCGGCTCTTGCTCTGTCTCGATCATAATCTCTCGATGGCACGAGCGCTTAATATTTGTCCGTGTCTTCAAAGGCGCGTGTGTTTGGTTCGTCGTCAACTTAATTTTTCGTATCAATTTGAATCCATGTAGTATAAAGCTACCCTTTTTTTTTTTAACAATGTAATATGTTATATGATTGTACTTTTACCTCAAAAGGGAAGATTTCTTCATGTGACTGTAATTTTTGTATTGTGTTCACCACCATATAATAATATGAATTACCTCAATAATTCATGTTTTAGTACTAAAAGGATTTTATTTATTTCAAGTGACATTGGTTTAATAATGGTTCAATTACTTTTACGGACAAAAAAGGCAGAAATTCTATAGCACCACATGTGACACCATATTATGGTGTCACAACATGATGTGACACATTATGATTGGTCGCACAACATGATTAATTAGCCCTTAGTTATCTCGAACATGATTAACGTCTCGTGCTTATCCCGTTATTGACAATTCATGTCGTATGTAATTAAGCAAACTAATATTAAAGCTTGTGTTCGTAATTATGCAACGTTTAAAGCATTAATGCTGTTTAATTTTGCAATAAATAAACTGTAATTAACATAATACAAGATCAAGTTGATTAGTGAACTTGGTCAGGTACAACTAAAACTTTTGACTTTGTCTAATATAAAACTTATTACAGTCAATAATAATAAGGGCACGGTCCTTTATCTTGAAATCAAAGGTCAACAAATCAAATTAAATTAAATTAAATTAAATTAAATTACACATTTTAAACCTTTTATACTTTTTATTTTTAATTTTTTTTAATGGTTTGCCCGTGGATAAGATTGGCTCCTGAATGCACAAGATTCATAGTACCTCATTAACAGTCAATTATTTGTGTGTGTTATAAAATTCTAACTATAGTAGTAGCTTTAGCTTCTTTTTTTTTTTGTTTTTTGTTTTTTTTTTAACCTTTTATTATCCTAGAATAGAATTATATGAATAATGGTTAGAGCAAGTTATTTAAATAAACCACTATTGATATTGTTGAATTATCGATGAATCGAGATTTTCGATCAAACTGTCTGATGTGCTATTGCACACTGGACCGGCCTTCCTTGATCTCCAACCACCTGAGCCCTCGGAACCTGCAAGGACGCTGGGAGATGTTCCCGACGGTAAACCTCCAACGCTCAAGTTAGTAGGGTCTCAACGAAAGCGCAGTATGTATTTAGGGTTTTTGTAAAGTAAAAACTCATACCTCATGTAACACAAGACCCACCTATTTATATGTCACTTCCTTGCTTTCTTTGTACGCTTTTACCAGACCGTTATTGGGCCAAGCCCATATATCAACACACCTGCTCAATTGCATCGACTTAATTAATTGTATATGCTCGATCCATGAACCGAGCCGATCTCACGCGGTCTATCTACATGAACCACTATGCTATATCACTGTCTAATTCGAGTCATGAACTGCGTCAAAATAGCCAGATTAATCTGCAAAATCAGCGTTGAGGTAGTCTCGAAATAGATACTCTGATTCTCAAATCAGAATTAACATATACAAGAGATATTTTTTTTTTATTTTTTTTACATGAGATTAAATGACTTCCTTATAAAACATTTTATTTTATTTTTTTTAGTCAAGAATTGATATATGCAAATCTACTTAGATGTCCTATAGAAATATTTTATAAGTTTAAGATATGAAGAGTACTTAAGTTAAACCGCTATAACAAGTTGAATAAAATAATCAACAAGAAAATCGTCACAAGGAGCCTATAAATCAC